GGAGCAGCGGTGTCCCCCTTAGAGCAGCCATGGCACCCGCTTCCTAAGAACAGTTGCGTAATCCACATCTCGAAACAGCCACGGGGCTCATTTTCCGGAACAGTAGTTGGATTGGAAAGGTGATTTCGCGGCTGTTCTGGGGCGGATACCCTTTGGCGGATCCGGGGGGGAGGGGAGAGGGGGCAGGAGGTCTTTCGCGCTTATGGGACTCAGGCAGTAACTGTTTTACTACAGAAATTGATTTTACCGGTTTTGGCAGCTGTTTTACCGGTTTTTTGCCCGAAATCCGCTCGTTTTTTCGGTAAATGCTCGCTTTGTGAAAAAATGACAAATGCAAATTTTTTGAAAAAAGGCAAATTTCCCGTCCACTAAAAGTGAAGGTATTGCTCGAGCGGTCGTTTGTCAAAAAATGCACGTTCATTTACATGTACGACTGCGGTTAAGGTTCGAGCTGCGAACGAATTTTTGAAAATATGCAGATTTTTAGTGCATTGAAAAATTGAAAGTATTGCTCGAACGGTCGTTTTTCTAAAATTCCATGTTCATTCGCATATATAATTGCGGTTCAGGTCCGAGTTGTTAACGATTTTTGGGTTCAGGAGCTGCTTGAGACTGTGGTTGGGGAGCTAGAGGGCTCAGTTTAAAACTTTTATCTCGCACGTGCATAGAGAATATCCCTGCAAAGTTTCAGCCTTCTACGTTGCCTGGTTCGCAAAATCGTTTCCCGCCAATAAGTTTCTTTGGTGGTCCCGTACGCAGGGTTTAGGCACGTATAGGGAAAGATCTTAAAACGGGAGGATGACACAGGGGGTAAGAACATATATCCAAAGTTTCAGCCCCCAGCTTTCCTAATTGCCGCGATGAAAGTGGGTGACAAAATGCATTCGCTTTCCGAACACACACACACACACAAACAGCCTCTCGACAATATGCGTTTTCGCTGACTGTAGCGGCGCTATAGCGCTGCTATAACGCTGCACAGCAAAAACGCATAAAAAACGCAAATTTGAAGAAAATCCGAAGAGGATATGGGCAAAACGCACTCACTTTTGGATTTGCGATAAAACTGAATATTTATCATGCCTGCGTGCATGGGAACTTACCTCCAAACCGAATTAAAACAACACAAGAGTATAAAATGTCCTCGCAAAAGCTGCAGTTTCGCAGTTTGTCTAGTAGGCGAAATAGCCACTTCGCTACAAACATTTTTGAAGCACCCTACATCGTGGCGCATGTGCAAATCGGAACTCAGTTTAGGTATATGATTTCCCATATGGATGATAAATATTCTGACAAAATTTCAGCTACTGTTTTCCGACTAGCTTTCGAGCTGATATAGTGTTAGATGCTAACCTTGACGTGGCCGTACGCGCCTGCATAAGCGTACACAATAGCTGAATTTGAAATCTTTAGCTCGCACATGCACAGAGCTTTCTGTCTTATCTAGTTCGCGAAACCATTTCCACCAAAGAAGTTTGCATATTTCTTTCGGGGTCCGTACGCGGGTCTAGGCGCTTATAGCGAACATTTTAAAACGGGAAGGCATTCTAGGTTCCTTGGTTGCTGATTTGAAAATTGGTGGCAAAGTTCACTCGCTTCCGAACACACATACACGAACGACCTCTTGATAATGTGAGTTTTTGCTCGCAGTAGCATCGCTATCATGTTGCACAGCAAAAATGCATTAAAAAATGGAACGTTTCCGACAAACTATTGGTGAGTTTCGGTGTCCCTTTTTTATGAATTTAGCAGGCGCGGTGCATCGGAAAGCAGTACTGTTGTTGTGCAACAGGCCTAGGGTTCGTTCCCGTCGCTGGGACAATCCCCTCTAGAACACCTTTAGTTGTTTCACTGACACGCTGGTACTGGCAGTAAACTCCCAGTATCAGAATGCTTGCAGTTATCCGTGAAGGAAGGACGCATTAACTGCTTTGCCAGCCGATGGCTATTGTGGGCACTTGGGCCGCCTGAGCCATTTCTCGAGTGTCACAGATTCTTATAGGGAGAAAACGCGAAGGGCTTTTAACCCTTTGTTTGCTTGAGTGTCTCATTTTAGCATCTTTAAATCGGTCGGTTCCCATAGCTGCCAAATTTTGAAATCTGTCGGTTCCCAAACTGATTAGATTCTGCACTTTTCATACGATCTTTGCGTTTTTGGCTCATCTTTACATACTTTTCCTTTCAAAGGAGCGAATTTGAGATTTTTTGAAGAGCATTTCTTCTCCAACTTGCACCCCAGGAGGTAAGGAATAAAAAATTGTACGCAGAAATTTTCAGTGCCTCCATGCTATTTCCTTCATAAGCCTAATTTAAGAAATTCGAAGAGGATTCTAACGCCCGATATTTCATCCCGAGTATCCTCTGCCAAAGCTTGATCCTTCAAGTAGCCAAAATGCGTTAAATGCAAAGGAGAAAAATAAAGCAATGTGCTTTAGCAATGTGCCTGTGTGCTTCATTTTCGCTTATAAAGCAAAAGCAGCTTCTTCGATGCTTCTATGAAAGTCATTAAATTTTTCGTTGCGGACGAGTCCCAATTAAATTCCCTTGAAGAAAATCATGCTTTCCAGCAGTATCATGCAAAAGGCTACGCCGGTTCGATGCTAATTGGTTCCTCAGTGAAATCCGTGAAAGGCGAATGCCATTTGTTGCTAGCTTATGCGCGGTTTGTGTGAGGGCAGTGATGACGCATGGTGGTTTCCGCTGCCTGTCATTTTAAGCATTTCATTAGAGTCGCACCATGCAGTTCAAAGCCCCATATTTTCTCTTGTAACTGCGCTTCACAAGAGATTCGGATTGTAATTTTGAAAGATTTACATGGGCATTGATTTTGGCCTCAGATCTAAGCACACTGATTTCATCACCCAGGCAAAAAATTTATGCATTTGTTTATCGTATGAGATGCAAAATTAGCTTGCAAGCTTCAGCCTACAGGTTTTTAATTTTAAAGTGAATTGGGAGAGAAATCTGAGATTTTAGAATTATCTGATAATTTTCATAAGAGGTTTTAACTTGTGATCGCTACTGAAGTCGGTGTTCAGACTTCTACTTTTTATGCGTTTTTGCTGTGCAGCGCTATAGCAGCGCTATAGCGCTGCTACAGCCAG